CCCCAGTAAGTTGGGGCAACGATTACATATTAATTCCCCAATCTGCAGTTCAGGCCCCAATGCAACGCTTCCCCAAACAGCCCACGCAAAATAACGAGATCCAGACACACAATGTATGCTTCACTCTAGTTTATTACATGAAATAAATATTAACATCTCATGGTAATCCCTTTACCACCTAGACCTGAGCTATAAACCAACAAAAAAACGTTAAATCATGTTGCAGAGTCTTAAAACATTTTTTCTTCCTCTGTAAAACTGAAAGGAAATTCCCTCAGTCGGACTAAGTTCTTATATGTTTGGCTAGATGAGAGGGGGCAAAGTAGTGATTGAGAAAACTGGATTCAGAACACAGCTCCCGACGCAGCCTGGGGCTTTTCACTGTAAATGTTTGGCACAGATCCAAAGTCGAGCACCTATCACTCTGTTATGTATGCCTCCTAGCCTTCTTTTTAAGAATCTGGTTATGAACGCAGGTTATGAAAACACCTATCCACTTTTCTTCTGGAACAGCAAAGCTCTCCTTAACTTTCTTAAGAAATCAAAAAAGTCCGTCTTTGTCGTTTCCGCTGAGAATCCTCCTGTTTATGAAGGACAAGGCTTATGTCGAGTCCGGAGTTCGGTTCCACTCAAAACACTCCCAAAACAGAAATACTTCTTTTTTTTATTGAATGGTGTGCATAAACATTACACTCCATAGATAGCAAAAATATTTTATTTATAATTTACATTTCCACAAATGAAAAAAAAAAAATTCTCGTACAATTTCTTCTTACATATACAGTCTATTCCGGTTTAAATCGGTACACCATCTACAGAACTTCCACACAATAGACACCTGACAGTGTGCAGGCAATAAGAAATTTCAAATACAAAAATGTATTTATTAACCAAATAAGCAGCTGGGGCCCTGCCCCAGGAGAACACTTTATTCATATAAAAATCCCTTGCCTTCTAGAGTCAGCTAGAACACAACAGCTCTTCTCTGTAATTAAAAAAAAATTCAAATTAGTTTAAACCGACTCAACCTTTTCGGGTTCTGTTTTAATTTCGGCAGGTATTGTCGTGCTCCCCTCCATACATTCCTCGAGCTTTTCCTCTGGCTCTTCTTTGACTTTGGGACTGTTACTGGAGTCCTGAACCTCTTGCTTGACGATATTCAACATAATATTTAGTGGATTTTCTATGGGAGTCTTGCTAGGAGAGGGCGTCGAATCGAACGAGGTCTGTAAGCAAAAAAGAAACTTCACATCTGGAATTTTTCCATTCCCGGTCAAACATTTCACTGAATCAAATCGAGTCCTTTACATGCACAGATATCTCCCCTACAGCGGAACATCTATTATGGGTTGACAATTGTGGACTAAGTACTATCACAGAAAGGGTCTCATTACTGCTTTTTGCAGCTAAGGCTGTCATTGCCACACACTGGAAAACGACAATGGCACCCACACTTTCACAATGGCATGAAAAGCTGTGGGATTTATATATCGTGGCTAAACTCTCGGACAATCTTACGCGTTTTGATAAGATTCCAGCCTCTACTAATTTTGTTGCAATCTGGTTTCCTATCCTAGAATATCTCTTTAAACAGCAAAATACTCCGAAAGTAGTTGATGATCTCTGGTTATGGTAATGTTTTCACTGTATTGTAGTTAACCTTTTAAGACAGCAACGGTTTATAATATTCCCCTGAGATATCTATAGATGGTATCTTGAATCTCGTTTCCTCATTATTGATGTTATTATTACTGTCTTCATGATGTTCTTTCTAAATGTTTTATGCACTATTTTGTACTAGTTTGTATATTTACACACTTGCATTATTGTTGTTACTACTACAAACTCAATAAAAATGTATTGTATAAAAAAACCATTTTACTGGCAGCGTTCCCAATGTGACTGAGGTTAGAGGCAGGTATCAAAGGTACTTTTCACAACTTGTACATCACCTGGGATGGTCCAAATCATGCCAGCTGAACTACTTTTTGACTTGCTGGCATTCTGCAAAGCCCAACTTTTATTTATATATATTTACATAGATATATATTACACACACACACATTTTTAAACCTTTGGACCCTTTCCATTCTTGTTTGAAAGATATCTATGGAATCTCAAAACTTTTTTAAAAAAAACCCACCAAATCTATTGTTAAACCTCTCGTGACTTTTAGCAGTCAACACAGTAGTCTCTCGAAGAGGGGGTTCATACTTTCCCACATTTAAGGGCAAATGTTAGAAGAACAAAGATTGCTTCCCCTCCTCTTACGTGAATTACATGGCGTGCTATTTATTTTAACCTGTAGCGACTTCAGCACTTGTCGATCCCAATGAGGGATGCAGCAAGTTATGTGTTTTGGAGGCTTGACAACGGCAAACTTACTTTTTGATAATCTTCGTAACATGATGGATGGTAGATCTGCAGAAAGAAACGGAGACCGAACTCAGAAATTGCTTTGAAATATTCTCCTGTGTCCCTTGATAAATATGCAGACACGATTTTCACGGACTCTCAACTGTTACTAGAAGCTTTGTACAGCCTAATTTTGATTTCTCTCGAACCAAAATCTTTGCGTCCTCTTTTGGCCAGTATTCCAAATGTGATGGGTAAGACCTAACTGAAGCCCGTGGCGACTTTGATTTTTGTTTAAAACATTTATTAGCTGCCTTTTTCCCCCCCTTGCAGAACTCAAGGGGGCTTACCATAGAAATAAAACAATTTCACAATTAACAAAAAAAATGACTAAAGTAACAATTATAAAACCACATAAAGGGTCACAATTTAAATACTCCAATTAGGCCAGGCCAGTAAATAAGAACTAAATCAGCCAAATGCAGTCAGTGTCTTCAACTGCCTCTTCAAGATGAGCAGTAAGGGAGCCGGGAGGCCCTTCCCTGGGGAAGCTGTTCTCTAATTGGGGGGGGGGGGCTGCCACTGAAAAGGCCCTCTCTTGTGTACCCGGCAAATGAACTTCTTTGATTGGTGGGACAGTCAGGAGGGCCTCTCCCTGTGATCTTAACTCCCAGGCGGGAACATATGGAAGACAGTCCTTGAGATACTCTGGTCCCAAGCCATGGAGGGCTTGAAGGGTGAACACAAACACCTCGAACGGGACTCAGGAGTGGATCAGTAGCCAGTGGAACTGCTGTACTGTCAGGGACATAAGCATTTGGGCCACCAAAAAGGAATGGTTTCCCTCCTCAATCAAACGTCCAGGCTGAAATAATTAGGACGATTACTGAAATAGCCGTTGAAAAAGCCCCCCTCCAACCCCCACAGGCGTCAAAACTCCTTTAAACGTTACCTTTTCATCTACTCTAATGGCATTTTTAAGGTGCCACTCTTCCTCCTCCTCATCCCAATATTGTTCGAATTGCTCCTGGCAAATTTCACAGCTCTGGAGAAAAACAAAAAACAAAACAGAAAGGCAAGTTAATGAAACTTTCAACACTCACAGCATACTGTGCGTGCTTTTGGATCGTTAAAAGCCTTGCTCGGTCAGACCAAGAAAAATGAGGCAGATGCACCGTGCAATTAAAGTAGGCGAGTTAATTACAAAAGGAGGCAGAGTTCACAGCTGCGCCTAGAATGACTGGACGCAGCTTCTAAAGTCTGTAGAACAGAAAGCTCAAAGGGTATGCGATGCTGGCTTTCAAAACTACATTAAGATCACTGCCCAAGGATTGACACATAAAGGTTTCAGACATAAATACAGAGGCCACCTGTCCTCTGAGGAGCTCAGGGTGACAATACATGACGGTCACCCCCTGTCCTTTAAACCTCACAACAACCAGGGGAGGTAGGTTAGGTGAAGAGAGCAACTGGTCTGGGGTCACTCAATGTGCTTCATAGAAAAGTGGAGATTTACCAAAATCCTGAGCGCAGCCTCTCTTCAAATGTAAATGGCCAATACAGAGAAACCCTCAACACTCTGGAATTATTACCAATATACAGTACGTGTGGACTACGGTACATGCAGACTATATTCTGTTAACATGCAATACTCCTTAGGTTTTTACTAAGCAGCGCGCCTTGTGACTGTGCTCTTAATTACAG